TGAACTCGGACGACATCCTCATTATACAAAATAAACCTTCAACAAGAATCAACTCCGAAAAACATAGCACCAAGCAAATAACTGACCATGAAAATACAGAGGAGCTAGACTTGAACGAAATATATGTTAATGAAAAACCTGTTATACTTAGATCACGACCAGAGTCAACTAAAAATGTTAACGATAAAGTTGAAATACCGGAAGAGGACTACGATCATCTCAGTAGGAATACCAATGATGCGGCACTAGTACAGGAAGACACTTACAGTCACATGGCAGACGATCAATACGGTACACAACAGATTCAGTGTGAGGATACATATGATCATACAGGGGGAACCGAGGGCGAGTACGGAGCAGCACAGATTGATCAGGATGTAAACAATATGTATGATCATACAGTACTCAATTATACAGATGACGTTTACAGTCTTCCAAATAAGGGCACATGTCATACTGAAACTGTGTATAATATTGTAAAAAAGACATGTGGTACCGATTAAGTATTCAAAAAATTAGATTAATGTATGTGCTTGTTTTAAAAGCAAACAGTTATCTGAACTATGTCAATGGTATTGTATATCTTAGAAATCCCTCTACAGTATCAAATTATAATTTGTACACAGTTTATTGAGATAAATGAGTTCCTATAAATTCAATTAATGATTGGATTATTCGTTTTAGTGAAGAAAGGCTGATGGTTAAAAATGATACTTGTCATCTTGCCCAGTGAAAGCAAGTTTGAAGAGATATGTATTTTTAATTAAGCAATTTGCTATCAAAGACCTCGAGTTAGCACTTTGAAAAATAGTTGAATATTTGAACAATGATACATTGTATAAGTATTAAATACCTAAGATATCGTGTACTTTAGATTTTAAACATATAAGATATGACAAAAAGGATGCACCCATTCTCTATCCACCTTTAATAAAGGTCTCTCCTGAGACAGAAGATGTGTGTTTTAATGGTCGCCATGCTTATTTTCGGAAAGGATATTATTATCCACCCATTCTGTTGCCGAGATATGACCATTTCTGACAAATGAACTGTTCTTGTCATAAAAATTAACTCACATGGAAAGAAATATAAAAATCGGGAAAATCTTTCAACTTTTGTGACAGAATGCTAGGGAGGGGGTCACGTGACCGCCAATATCACATGATTCGCGCATGCGCAGAACGATGGTTGAATGTGCATTAAAATCGGGGAGGATTAATTTAAAATATCAAAATTAAAACCAAATATTGTTTTTTGTATGGAAGGTATTCAATTAGTTTGCATACTTTTTGATCACCCCTCGTATATTCCAGAATTTACATTGTGGGATGTAAAAACAGAACTGCATTGTTCTGCAAGTTAATTTTCTTTCTTATTTTTTTATTTTAAAAGACGTTTTCTTGTTAATATTTCATCTAATAATTTATTATTCAGCTTACCTTACGAGCTTTCAGACCGAATTTCACGAGCACCATGCATGTATGTACGCCTGTTTTGTGAAATTTATTGTGCTTTCATAATATTTCATGACATATGTATCGAAATCAAACGAACTTCATGTAATACCCTCTAATATTAAGCAAATTTATTTTACAGAAGAAAGCATTAAGGTCAATTAATAAAAGATAGTAGATAAACTTTAAAATTGAAATCATTTATTTTCGTTGGGGTTTAAGTTTTGCTGTTTTTCAAGTAAAATTTCATATGCTTCACTACTCATCACTGAACACTTCTCCGACCTCGAAATCAATTACCGACAAACCAATATTTCATTCTCAACATGAAAAAGTGTGACCTCTCGAAAATAACTAAAACGCTTAAAAACCGAATGGTTCATTAATATATTAAATGGATTTGTGATATCTGATAAACTGTAAGAAAAAAGGATGACCTATGCCACAGTGAAGTATGTCGTGCACGACAACCGGGATTCAGGCAAGGGGCTTCCACTCTTCTCCCGGCCGTCTCTTAACAACAATGCCTTTATCTATATCCAACTCCACATTGCATTCGTCACTGAAGATAACGTTTTTACAAGTTTGGCTTTCCAGAAAGCCTGAAATGTCATCTCTTTGGTATCAATAATGTCAAAGAAATAAAACAGAAATGGAAATATTTTAATGCAATGAATATATGGATTATTACACCTGAAGTTCCCATGAAATGACTTATTCAGCAAACTTCACAGTAAAGTACGCAGTTTCTTTTGGCCGCAGTATATATATGGAAAGCATGGACGTCTGCGAGAGCACCCAAGGCGATTTTTGGTGAAATTTCATTCTAGCGGTCTTCGTGCTTCTGGGTGTTTACAATCATATTAAATTCAAATACTTTCCTTAAACTATATTTTCTTAACACAATACGGAATTATCAACAATAATTATCATTCATTTAAAAGCAGCTAATCATTCAAGTTTGACAGGAATTAATTTAATAAATCCAATTACAGACTAAAAAATTAACATAAAATTAGCGTTTACCACTCTTCATTCATTTTTTGCAGAATCTATTTGTAAGCCTGTTCTTTTGTGTGAGAACCAGTTTTTCCCTTCGAGTCAACAAATCTATATATAGAAATCACGTCATTGTCAATTCTCCTTGTGTGGCTTACCAATTTAATAAGGCATAGTACTGAGGATCAATATATACATGTATATACATGTACGACACCAATCTCCCATGCAGAGTTGTCGTTCGTTCCTCTCTCAGACACCTCTGCGATGGGCTCACGTCAAGATTTTTGACATAACGTATAAAACGTGATATTTGAAGGATTGCTTGAATTAGAATTAATAGTTTTGTACTGATTTAGTAAATATCTATCTCAAAACTCAGACCTAATCATAGAAATTTAATTATAATGAATTAAAACAAACACACTATTTCTCGTGTTTAACACTGTGTATACGCGAGCCAACGACAGAGGTAAATGTATGAGCCGATGGTAGAGAGTGGTACGACACACCGAAACTATAGATATTTATAAGTATCGTACTTCTTTTCTAAATTTTCCTTGGCTTTCAAATAGGCCTAAACCGAAAGTAGATCACACACTCCTAAGCTAGTTCTTCTAAAAGAAAACCAGTTTACAGGCAACTTGGAACTCTGCAAAACATCGAAACACACAAAGATTAATGGAGGCTTACACTAGGACTTCACTTCCGGCATACAATCTTAATGTGTCATCTCCCGAGGGAGATGACAATCAAGTATACAATTACAGTCTTCTCTCTATTCAGCTTGCACCATACAAGTCGTTTTTTTTTTTTACATTTCCTGCACGAATTCTGATAGCATTTTTACAATACATTGTAGAATCCTTCTTCATATTTATACCCCCGCTCCGAAGGAGTGGCGATATACTGTTTTACCATTCTGTGTCTGTCTGTCTAGCTGTCTGTCTAGTTGTCCGTGTGTCTGTCCTTAACAAATTTTCGTCGCAGTTTTCTCAGCAACTACTCATCATAGATGCTTGAAATTTTAACACAATCTTCTCTGAAACATGTCATACGGTGGGATACATTTTTGTTTAAATCTTTGTCAACTTACTATTTGTCTGTGCGTCTGTCCGTTTCATAAACAATTTTCGTCACAGTTTTTTCAGCAACTACTCCTCGCAGATGCCTGAAATTTTAATACAATCTTCTCTGAGGCATGTCATACATTGAAATACATTTTTGTTCAAATCCAATGTCAACTTCTTGTTTGTCTGTACGTCTGTCTGTTTCATTCATAACAAATTTTCGTCACAGTTTCCTCAGCAACTACCCATTGCAGATGCTTGAAATTTGACACAATCTTTTCTGATGCATACCATATGGTGTTAATTTCTTGTTTGTCTGTGCGTTTGTCCGTTTCATATAAAACAAATCTTCGTTGCAGTTTTCTCATTAACTATTCATAGCAGATGCTTGAAATTTTAGTATATCTTTCTTGAGGCATGCCATATGGTGGGATTAATTTTGATATGAATCTGATGTTAACTTCATATTTTTCTGTGCATCGACCTGTAATTGAACATGTGTTATATTAACATGATGGTGCTTATTTACATCAGAGCGGGAGTATTACTAGTGAGCATTGGTTCACATATTTCTTGTTAGTTCCTCTGAATTGGCCTTTTTTTTTTACACAGTTTGAGGCCTGATTTTTTTAGACATTGAAGTTAATTCTAGTGGACGCTTTCTGATTGATTTTACAATAGCTTCAAGTTTCTGACTATCCCTCTCTGACAACTAAGACGGTCTTCCGCTTAGATTCTGGTTTCAATGTTCTCTTGGCCTTTCAAACGTCTCAAAACACTATACACACTTGATAGTGGATGTCCCGTTTGCTTAACTATCTTTAAACCCTTGATATCCGCTCTATGTAAGTTAGCAATCGCATTTTTCTGCCAATGACAGCTGTAATTCTCAAACAAACAGCTATATGTAGAACAGCAGACGATGTCACAATTTCCGGTAATCTGCAGGGTCAGACTACTACGTCATAACTTTTCAATGCAAGAGAGATAACTTTTAATTTGAAACACAAAGAGACTTGGATCATTCTGAACGGAAGTGAAAATTATATTCAGTTTGGCACGTGACTGTATATACTTTTTTGAGATAACAGATTTGACTGTATATTATTTTTTGAACATACAGTGTATGTCATTTACTTTGAATTTTTTTCATGTTACAAATTTTTAGTCAACTTCATTTTTTGCTTAAGTTTAGCTCTCAAGTTCACAGTTGGCCACTACAAATTAAAAAAATCCCATCAGTGGAAGCTTAATATGTCTTTTAAAGATAACGAAAATCGATTTTGTTATAAAGGCTTCTGAAATGTTAAAACTGAAAAAAAAACATATTTAGCAGTATCTCAAAACAAGATCTGGGAAACATATCCCGTGAAAGCGGAAGGTAATTCTTAAAACTCAACAGCCTATCTTTACACAGCGATTACAACCCCCGTAATGTACTTTAGAACAAAACTTCCTTGTCCTTCAAAGTGAAAAAGGAGAATAAAACTACATGTACAATTTAGTACGGCCATGAGTATTAAATATGTCTTTAAACTATGTGTTCTCTTCACGCAGAGAGGATGAAATAAGGATTTTAAGAGGAAATGATCATATAGGAAAAATTATAGGATAATCAACTCGTTGGAAGGAGGTGTTAAATCTATGCTTGTCACAAGAAGATTCATTAATGCTTACCTCAAAATCTTGAGACTCTTTACTTCAACTTGAAGAGATATTCGGCGAAACATGCATTTTGCACTTTTGTTAATATTTCTTTTTGAAGAAATAATAGGTTCTGAAGGTAAGTTATTTTATTTAACCTAATAGCCTTATAACCCCATAAAGTGATTTGCTCAGGAGGTCAAAAAATGCATGGTTTCTCGCTGTGCGTTGATATATCTTACCACTTGCCGGTTGAGAGCTGCAAAGTCTGTCCTATATTCAACACTCAGAGCCCTTGAGCAGGGAGGGATATTTTTTTATGGCAGCACCTATTGCGACATGGACCTTAGTTTATACGGTCTCATCCGAGGAACCATTCTCCACGTCCCACAGTGGGATTCAAATCCGCGACGTAAAGGTGAACTTCTTAATTTGCGACTCTAGAGCAGTCACTAGCTGCGCCACGCAGGTGACTGGATCAGATTTAAATCAAAATATAAGGAAACATCTCAGTCTAGACTTTTTTGTTTTATGATGACAAATTAATTGCTCGCTTCTTAAAGAAAAAAATAGACAGTTATTCCTTATATGATCTTGAAATCACTAATTTCCTAGGGGGGGGGGGGGTAATTTTCGTGGTTTTCAAGGTATATCTAGACCCCACGAAATTATGTCATACCGCAAAATGCCATTTTCACATATATTACTACTGAACATCTCTTCAACAACGAAATTAAAGATACCCATGAACCAATATATTTTCTTTAAATCAGGAAAATTTGACCACTTGAAAATATGTGACTTTACAGCATTTCATTTCCAAACATACCTGCCCTTTTCTTATATTTCAGTATACTCTAAATAGCAGATACCACCCGGCGATAGTGTAAAAGCGAGTGAAATGAATAAAAATGGATACATACATTCAATTTAAATAATCTTAAAATAGTAAACTTAATAAGATTATTGAAGTTTCAGAAATGGAATACATATATGTTGATAAGAATATGAGTTGGATAGAAGCTAGAAACTTCTGCAAAGAAGAATTTGGAGCACGTTTGTCGACATTAGATCAAACAAATGTTGGAGCCTTTCAGCAATCATGTTTAAATGATGATTTTCAAGATATGTGGACGAATACATTTATTTCTTTTACACCATTTTTGACTGTCGTTGGTAAGATATTTAATTACAATTTAAATTTAACTTTAATTATAAACATAATTACCGTATAAACATGTACTATATAAGTCGGATGTATTTTTTAAAGCTTATATTCAAGGGATTGAAATTCTAAAATGCCAGTCTTTTTATAACTCGAATATAACACACTGCTCAGCGGGTTATCGGCTACTCGGTTGTTATCGGAAACTCGGTGCAAGTAAAGCAATGTTTAGAAAATGTAGGTAATTTAAGATTTCTTATCTTAACAATAAATATGTATTTCAGCAAACAAAGTTTGTGATATATGATAGATAATTGATTATACTTTCAGGGGCAGAAAGCACAAACCAAATCACTCTCTTTCAAAAGATCTACAACTCTTTCAAATGATATTTTACAAAAATTTCGGAATATGTCATCTCATTTTTACTTCTGTAGAAGTCAATATTAGTTTATTCTATCAAACAAACTGGTCTATTTATTCTATGGACAATCAGATACCTTTAGATCAGCAAACTGAGATTAAAAATCCAACTTTAGTAAAATGTCTCGTTAGTTGAAAACATGTTATCGTCAACTAGGTTGATGTTGCCGGATACTTTGTTTTAAAAAGTTTCCTTTAGCTTCATAAATAGATTGGAAAAAATCCATTATAATCTGCCAATCCTTGAAAATAGCAAACGTAAAAGTTTGTTTTGATATGAATGTGTATAAATAAGATTAATGATTATAAATTTATAATAGAATTACCCATCTGTTCAATCATTTTTCTAGTTTTCCATTCAAGATAACCTCTTGGAAACCGCTTCAGACGTAACTATATTATGTTTAATTAATCATAACAATTTCGCTTTAGACTTCCGATATACATTTTAAAAAAAAGTTCAATTTTTCCCATGATCCCCGGGACACTAATTTTTTTTTGCCAGTAATGTCAATATTAATTATCACGTCACAGTTACACATATAGCAGGTGTGGCTTAAGTAGGGGTGCCCCGTACATGAAACAAGTGCCTATTATTGTGACGTCAGGACTTATGTTGCTCCGCAGAAGTACGTTAACATATTTTATGGAAGCTTAAAATAGAATCACCCAGTTTATAGGACTTTTTAATATACTTAATCATGTGATCTTGTGTCAATCAGACAGCTGTCAATATGAAAGAAAAATAATAATTCTCAATTCTTTTTTTATGCAATGTAATTTGGATATGTAGTAGATTAAAGAGACTATCCTTTAACAAAAAGCATGGTCCAAAATAAAATATATTTTTTTAAAAATTAAGTTAAGGGATCCGACTGGAATTTTATTGTGTAAGAAACACTTTAATTAAAAAAATATATATAACTCATTTTCCAACCGTTAAAAATACCTACTAGTATTTAGGACTCACTTCAGTTCCTCGTATGTTTAACTTTTTCTACAAACAGTTATTTGCGTTTTCAATAACAAGGAGGGTGGGTGGGTGGGGCAGAGATGTTTTCTTCCGTATAAACATCAAATAGCAATGCAAAATCCATGTCAGCCCCCCCCCCCCGTCCATTCGAGCATTAGCTCTATCTACACATCGAATTTGTACACATTGCGGGATATGACCGTTCATCAGGGGGTTCTTATTCCTTCTTGGTACATTTTTATGATTTTGTAATTTTTTTAAGTCAACCTCTTTTCCCCTCAAAATTTTGATTTCTATATCATATATTTTGGTATAACTACCTATTTGAAAATTCATCTAACCACCCTTGATTTTAAATTCTTTAATTGCTTTACATGTATATACCAAACTTATAAATGTATTCGTGTTTGAAAGGTTGTGAGTTTGATTATCAGGCGGCGACTGACCTAAGTCGATAAAAATGGGCAGCAACTGTTCCTTAGCCATGCGCTCAGCATCTTGATTGTATGTTGTTTAATGCGCTCCTGAGAATTTTCCAGTCATATAGAGACGCCATCACTTGCCGGCGGAGAGCTTCAAAATTAGTCATATACTTACTGTATCACTCAGGGTCATTGAGTAGTGAGGGATCTTTTTTGTGCTAGCACCTACTGCGACGTCCCACTGTGGGATACGAACCTGCGACGTAAGAATCGACTCATTACTTGGCAACTCTAGAGCAGACACTCTTTAGAACCACTGCGCCACGCAGGCGACATCGGTACCTTGAAATGAAATTTGAAACTTATACCATATTTTCGAACAGGTCAAGATCATGCAGATTTCAGTGAGAAATGCCAAAAATGCACTCATTTTTTTTTTTTTTAAATTACATATTCTTAAAAGAGGCAATTTATAGCCAAAAATTAGAATTTCGTCCCAGCCACTTTAATTATATAAGTTTCATAAGGATTTCTGTCGTTTCTTTGCGTTTTTCCCTAATCTATGACAACCTTTGTTTCCGATAACCAAATCCGAGTTATCCGATAACAAAGTACATTATTTAACCGGGTTTCCGATAAAATACTGAAAGTTTAAATTGGGCAATTTTTGCTCTTTAATTACATATTCGCAAGATTCTGTGGAAATCTTCTTGTGGACAATCATTAACGCAAGGTAAATATAAGGATTTTGAAGAAAAAAGCTATTTACAACAATGCCAATTGGAGAAAAGCTTGCAAAATATAACAAATTTGACCTTCCAAAGGCTAACAAATGCTATACTAATACGTATCGAGGCTTTATATTGTATCTGTATTCATTTCTGTTTACAAAAAGAAATGAATATTCTCTGTTTTAACAGAGTTTATTTTAAATAATTTACTAACTTGTCAAAAATTGTTATCATGCAACCGAGTGTCCGACAACAACCGAGTAGCCGATAACGCGTTGAGCAGTGTGTATAAGTCGGAGCCAGAGTTTCGGCTTAAAGTTTAACTCCCAAACATCCAAACATCCGACTTATAGGTGAGTATATGCGGTAGTTCCTTATTTTCATGTGGATATTTGTATTTCCCTATAAAGATTAGAAGGGCTGAGTTTCAGATTAGAGCATAAGCAATGTAATTATAAGCATGTAAGTCTGAATTATCTTTGATGAAAAAAATCACATTAAAGTAATTGAGTGTGCGTATCTGGATCTGTGTAGTTATTAGTTTCTGAAATTATATATCATATTACGGCAATCATAAGACAAGAACGATTGAAGGATATAATAAATCTTGATTGCTACATTTTCTACCAAACAATCTCATAGTTTAGAGGGTACCATCTTTAAAATAAACAAATGAATATTTTAGTCATAAATTTGAATTACCTACAACTAGCAAATTCAGAGTCTACAAAATGGTGGTAGAATTAATTGATTGATTGAAAATGTATCTTTAGATAGCTAGGACATAAAAATTGTTAAATTAGATATTAGATCAAATCATTTGTGAAAAAGGATATCACTTTTTTAAAACAAACATTAATTTAATTGCATTATACATTACCTTTCGGGCTTTGTCCGAGTAGAAAAGAATATTAAAAATGAGATTTATTTAATTATGAACATTTAAAATTTTAATTATGTTTTGAACTGTCTTTCAAACTTTGCTCTATTATTATTAGGATGCTTTGACATACCAGACAAAATGAGTTCTCTTAGTTTAAATAGTCCTTCCATATACGAGTGCCAATTACACTGCAGTAATTATTCTAGATTTGCAATTAAGGTAAGCATAAGGAAAACTCAAAAAGATATCGAATGTTAAACACTACATATTCCAAAGAACTTTTATTTTTTCTGAGAATCTTTATTTGTTTTAGAATATTGGTGGATAATTTTTTTTAAAATTATAAATTGATAGAATTAAAAAAAAATCTTTTCTGTAACTTAAGATGAACAAATGCCTGTGCTTAAAAGGAAATGAAATCGATGGAAAACAGAAACCTGCAAGTTTATGTAATATATCCTGTGAAGAAGGAACATTTTGTGGAGGCATTGACGACTGGAACGTATACGCTGTCGGTATGTATTTTTATAAACAGTTGAATGTTTTCTTGTATATCAAAGGCACAATGCTATCATAATACATTCAAGACTTGATAATGAAAATCAAAATACACCTCAAATTTAGTAAAATACAAATATAATTATTTTGTGGTTCTGATTTATTCTTTTTTAACTTATGTGTTTCTGCATTAATGATATTATAAAGCATAATGCTTCAACGTTTATAAGACATGTTTATCATTATACCAAAACTTTATATGAAAAGTAAATGTTTAATTCATGGGCGTTATCCTTGTCCCTCTTTCCGCCTATCACATTTTCTTCTTCCCGTATAATGTGATGCAGAACCATTTCTTCTTTTAACATATTATGTCGATCATACATATATTATTGAACCACTATAGTCCATGTCTAACGGTAATTAAAAGAAGGAAAATGCCATAGGATACATTTTCACAATTTAATTTTTTTTTGTATTTACAATGTACATGTTAAAATGTATATTTTTTTCGAGTAACCGGAGAGCAGTTTTACTTACAAATATTCTTTTCGTTCGACGGTTAACCGCTGAATACACTAGCATGTATTTGTATAGAAAATACAGCATTAAATGTTTTATTATTAGATATAAACCTGTCTCAGGAGCAAATGGTTTTAAATTAACGTTTAATGATGAAAACCAAACAAAGATTTTAATTATCAATGAATAGCATATCAATGATTTAACTTGATATTTCCAGATTTAACTTTGAATTGCAGTTGAGGGAGAATCAGTCCATAGAATTGATCCATTAACATTAGAGAATACGTCTTGTTTAACCCAGCAGTGTATAAACAATAGTTATCTATTCAGGGAAAGGAATTGCCTTGATGTCAAAGTCTCTGATGTTTCTTGCGGTAGGATATAAGTTCTAGGATATTACCAATAATAGACAATTTTGAAGGAAAAGTAAATTGTAACTATATGTAGTTTGAAATTCGCAAACTTTCCAGGAATTAGTGTTAATTTTTATATTTTTTTATGAACATCGACTTATTATTTTAGTTACCAACATTTCATTAACTAATATATAAAAATATTATATGTATATTTTCAATTAAAAGAATGAGAATTGAAATAAACCCATTATCGTGTTTTCCATCAGATGGTTTCTTCTCATGTACGTTTGAACCCGGGGAGCCTTGCTTTTTGATTCAGAACAAAAATGACACCTTTGACTGGATTGTGGCAACTGTTGAGTAGATAAACCAGTTTTTTTCAAAAGCAATTAATTAGAATATTACCAGTCATTTTAGGCTTATGGAAGGTATTTAAGGAATTCATTTATGAAAATATCAGATTTATATTAACGTCATTCAGAAAAAAAATATCGATACTGTCTTTATTAATTTATTCCATAATAATTATTGTCTTCATTTATTACGTAATTTCGATTATAAACCGCAGTAGAAACATGTCTTTGATTAGAGTGTAAACAATAGCCGCCCAGATAAAGCCTATGAGGGAGCATATTTCGCTTACGTGGAAGACGATAAATATAGTCCAAATCAAACAGCTTTCCTGACTTCTTCCATTATCAATCCAGGTAGAACATTGTAAATAAACATGTCATTTGAAACAATGAATAAAGGAATACCTGGAAATTTATGTACTGCAATGTAAACTGAATAATGATGATTCCTCTTTTTATGTCTATGTTGATATCTAAAAGCAACTTTACAACTACTTAAACCTTTTTGAATTAAAGTACATATTTCTATTAAAAAAACGGGTTTGAAAATGCATGAAAATGAAAGAGTTCTTCTAATGCTATGTAATATATATGTAAAAATGGTCATATTTTCACATTCATAGATATTCATGATGTCAAAACAATATTTGTACTAGAATATATTAAAAATTAAAATATAATTTAAATTTTGATATGTAATTTTTTTAGGTTATACATGTAATTGGTGTTTACGTTTCCGATACTTCATCAGAAGTTATAATCCTACACCATTAAAGATTGTTGTCTACAAAGGAAAAAAGACTATTGTTGATCAGTTTACATTATCTCAAACAGAAGATGAATGGAGATATAAAACTAAAGAATTAAACATAATTACCAAAGAACATTTTAAGGTATGTATTACACTACAAATTGTATTTTATTTTATGTCCCTTTGGTAATAATTGGCACGGTCAACGGTATTCTGTTGAAAATCAACGGCCATGTCATCTTATATCTAACAAATAGTCACAAACATGTGCCGACGAGTGATATCGTCTTTTATTCACTACGGTACCCAAGGGCAAACTCGTCGACATATTTTGAAATTCCTTGAATACATATATGTAAATTTGTAGATTATTAAAAAAAAAAAAAAAAAACAATCAAAAAGAGTTTTGAAAATACTATTGTTACTTTGCCATTTATGCTTATTTGGTACCACAAATTAAAACTTACAAATGCAATCTGCTTTAAAACGATAAAAGAGATAACTCGTATAAAGGTCATTGGCATCCAATACATTTATCAATCGGAGTCAGGTATAATATAGAAATTCTTTCTGAAACTCCAAAATGTACGTTATCGTGTGGATTTGTTTGCAAGGATCATGGAATTAAATAAAATTATTTTTTGAAAACAAGTATGACAACATTGTAACATTGTTCACGAGTCAAGCGAATTTATATTTATAAGACAAACCTGTACGTTTTCGCTAAGAAAACAAGCATTCTGAGAGTATTGCATAAGGAATACATGTCCCCTACCGGGTTCCCCTTTTTCTTCAGGATGTCATTTTATAATATGCAAAAGTCATGTCCAAGGTTAAACTGAAAGATTCTCAAGGTGTAAAACTAATAAAATAATCCAAATTAAGACGAAAATTTAGCTCATTTCTCTTTCTTTTCCTCGCTTCATATTTTTTGTCGACAATCGGAAGTTAGCGCATTTCGAACCCGATCTTAATTAAGCGATTATGAAAAATATTCAAAATGCCATAATTCTGTCAAAAATCAATGAAGCGAAGCGAAGCGAAATTCAAACTTGATCTGAAACTCATTAAGATACACTCACATACCAAAATCCAGCTCAATATCTGCAAGCGTTTAGAAAAAAGGTGCGGAAAACCAAGTGGGACAGACTGACGGGGACAGACAGACGGACAGACAGACAGACAAACAGACGGACGGACGCAGAGGAAACCTATAGTCCCCTGCGGTTTCACCGGTAGGGGACTAAAAATCATGTTTCCTCTTAATGCTCAATCACTTCAGCTCTGTTTTAATCAATGAAATCAACACCGACATACAGATCAAATATGTCATTAGTTTAAAGTGAGAAAATAAGAATACGAGGTGTGATCAAAAAGTTCGCAAACTCATTGAATAACTTCCATACAAGAAACAATATTTGGTTTTAATGTTGATTATATTTTAAATTAACCCTCCCCGATTTTAATGCACATCAACCACTGTTCTGCGCATGCGCGAATCACGTGATATTGGCGGTCACGTGACCCTCTCCGTAGCGTTCTGTCACAAAAGTTGAAAGATTTTTCTGAGTTTTATGTTTCTTTCCATGTGAGTTAATTTTTTTGACAAGAACAGCTCATTTGTCAGAAATGGTCATATTTCGGTAACAGAATGGGTGGATAATAATATCCTTTCCAAAAATAAGCATGGCACCATGACCATTATTATTTTTTTTAGATATCCATACGGTGTTTATATATTTCAGTTGATTCGATACGCAAGAGCGTGCACTACGTATGAACAATTTTTAAAACGAGGTACACTATTGACATTATTGACAAAATATGATTAAAAAACAAGAATATCATCAGTCTCGTTTGAAGTCTTCATTTTGGTTGAAACAATAATCTTATTAGCAAAATAATACAATGTATCACTGAGTCAAATGCTGACAGACGTTTTTCAAACTTATTGTTTGTCCTTAATTTATACATGCACTGAATTGACGACGGATTTTTTCTGTTATTTCCTGATCGTGACAAGGAGCATACGGCGGGTTTGACCGGTCAACAAGGGATGATCATTTCTCCATGGCACTTTATCCCACCTCTGATGTTTGGAGGTCTTTGTATGCTCCTATGTTGTATTGTTATAGAAATTTAATTTTGGACATGTTATAACTGTTGAAGAGATTTCAAAAACACAATACACTGATTTTAGCATTGATCTCAATCTGATTTTCCCCCCTAGTTACTTGCGATTGTATGTTGTTGCCGCTTGATATATCCTTATGTTAATGATTTTACTATTCACAGATTTTCTTTGAGACCAGTAAACAAAAGGAATGGAATTCCACTATCGCTATAGATGATGTAACGATGATAATGGGAAAATGCAGTAAGATGCTTTTATTTTTTTATTACTGCAAAGCTATGTAGGTTGCCTTACACACAATTTTTACGATTGCTTTGTTTTGAGCAAATTTTGGTTTCAACCAAGCATAAAACTTCGGCTGATTAATCTACAACGTTTTCCATCTTTCCCCACCTTTTCATGGTATTCTTTGTACACTCTTTTTACAGATGAATCACTCACTAAACTGCTGAACATGAAAGGGAATTTGCAATGTACTTTTGAGAAAAATAAAGATACATGTTTTATACAGGATCAATCCGACGATTTTGACTGGACCATTCAAGTAATACACCAAAATATGTTCTTAGAAGCTCTCTCTTCAATATACTATCGTCGAAAAATTGTCACTATCAATCATTATGTAAATGTTATCTTATAGCTTTCTGTAATAAGTGCTTTCTTACTTACTTTAGAGATAGGAACTGTTCCTTAATATAAAAATTTGTATTTATTGTTTTTGTAATTTTTTGTTGGAATACAAAGGGGTGTTCCATTTATTTCCATAATTTCTTTTCTTCATTCATGCCAGCCAATGTTTGCTAACCAACAACTTTTTTTTAATTTTTGTTTTCAAGTTTTTTATATTAATTTTCAACGCTAAAAATAAATGCACAACTTATGGTTAGAATCCCTTCCCGATTCAGTTATCAGGTACGATTCAAACATTGACATTATAGATTAAATATTTACTCTTAATTCGACCATCTTAAGTTCAATTATTTTTTTCTAAATAGAAGGAAAGAACAAAATCAGATAATACAGGACCTGTAAATAGCACCGAGGGAAAATACTATAGCTACATAGAAGCGTCGAATAAAGGCCCTGGGGAAGAAGCCGTGCTAATTTCAAACTTTGAACTAATTGGTATGTGATGCAATTTCTGAAATTAACTTTGAAAATATATTTTCGTCAATTGTATCTATTATTCTTTCATAATCTTACATTAATACATTGACTAGCGTATAATTTTTCTTGTATCGGTTATGTTGTTTGTAGTAATAAGGTTGTTTTGTTAAGCTGCTTGTTTATGATGCACATATATGTTTTTTTTAGAAACTGTGTTATACGGAAGTCTATTTACGATCTATCACAACAAATTTTGAATTCGATAAAACGAATGGTCGAATTTGTTAAAACAAATTTAATTCAATATAACATTTTTCGAAATTCGTTATTACGAGTTAAATCTGTTATAACAGATATCTAAAATTCATTAAAACGAATCAAAAACTTGTAATAACGAATTGAATTTGTTCTTACAATTCCGACAAATCGTTATATCGAATTCAAATATGTTTTTAATAGATCCTCAATAGGTTTCCATAGGGTTATGTTTTTTAGTGACTTGGTCATATTGTTCGTTGAATGGATAATGTTTTATATTTACATCCACTGAATATTTTCTTCTTTATTTCTTAAGAAAACCCATTGCGTTCATCCCTGCATAAACTACATTAGGCATATCACCTGTACAGATTTCTTGATCAGTGGCCGTTCCATCAATGAAACGTACAAAGACGTTCGCATCATTAACACAATAATTAATATTTTTAATCCTATTTAAAATGATAATTTAAACAGATATGAATATAAACAATAAAATGTCTTTCTTTGTTTGTTGTTACTGGAATGAACGGTCGCAGCTATTGCAGAAAAAATTAACATAACCCGCTTACGCGGGTTATGCATTTTTTCTGCAACAGCTGCTTCCGTTCATTCCAGTAACAACAAACAAAGAAAGCATTTTATTGTTTAAACAATGTATACAGTGACTTGGGTTATACTCCTTGTTTTAAGTGGCTTGAGTAAGTTTTTCATCGACTATTTAATATTTCTTATGAACTAAATGACTGCAGTGGGTTATCCATTAACGTAAATGCCTAATTAATAATAGAATCATATAACCATCTGAACCTCTGATCTTACATTGTATCTCTATATAAAGTAATGAATTCGAGTAAAACACGACAGTTCATACAATTTATAATGTTGATAAATAAATTTGTACAGAAATCATTTTCCCACATCCCATACCATCCAGTGTGCTTTCACATTTTATTCATCGATTTTCTTACCTAATATTATAAGATTTTTGATCGCTATGCAATACATTGATCAAAAATATAATACTATAATACGTATCTCTAAGCTTTTCATATTTGCTGAATTTCACGACATTTTACTTAGATGGAAATAGTTATAATTTATGACAGAATCATGTTTTTTCTCATTTGCTTTGTGCATTTTTAAAGAACTGCTACACTTTAAATCCGTTTTTAAGTAATTTGACCACTTAATTGAGAATATGGTCAATATTTTCCAAAGGCAAGATTTTTTGTCCGTCGTCTTTCTGTCTGTCTGTAACGCTTTCGTTTCCGCTCGATATCTCGAGAACCCTTTCATCCTTTGCAGTGAAATTTTGCCTAACAAATTGCAGACCCCCCCCCCCCCCCCCCGAAAAGTGCGCATGGTATTCTTTCCCTAAGCGGGGGACACAAATTCTTTGAATTAGCTTGTTTCAAATATAATATAGCAACAATTTTATTTTTTTGTAGATGTCTCTGTAAACATAAGTATGCAGTATCACATGTATGGTCAATATATAGGACGTCTAAGGTTGTACCTAAAAAACGACAATAACACAGAGATGACACTACTTAATGTAAGTGGCGATCAAGGCAATTTATGGAAATCTTATATCAACATCACAGAAGTTACAACAAAATCAAAGGTTTGGCAGTAATAATTTTTTTTGTATTTATTAATTAGTATTTTATCAAATGAAAAATTCACTGTAGTTTTAAGATTCCCTTTTTATTTACGAAAACTTTATTTTCGCGTAATTACGCGTGTCCTTCTACTTGCAAAAAATTATTTCTCGCGAATATTTTTATTGTAAGGCATGGTATACAACTGAAACTTCAGCTCGAGAAAATTTTGTCTCGCTGGCTTACTCGCGAAAAAATATGTTGCGAAAATATAGTTGTCAGTATCAAAGATATAAGAATAAACATGTGCCTGATCCGTAAAACATATAATATATCCTTTAAATCAGTTCAGTTTTAAGGTCACCTGAGTCACTCAGGTGACCTATTGCTATCTGTTTTCGTCCGTCGTCGTACGTCGTTCGTCGTCAATCGGTCGTAAACTTTTAAACATTTTCAGCTTCTTCTCTGCAACCACTGAACCAATTTCAACCAAATTTGGTACAAAGCATCTATGGGTGAAGGGGAACAAAAATTGTGAATTTCATGATCCCTGCCCCCCTGGGGCCTGGGGGGTGGGGCCAAAACCATTTAAATTAATGCAATCTTTAAAAATCTTCTTCTTTACTCCTGGACATCAAGCAGTCAAACTGTTTGCATGATTGTAATCAGCACTGAGTCCTCTACCAAAATTGTGAAATTCATGGCCCTGGGGTTAGGGGTTCTTGTGCTAGGGTGGGGCTAAATAAGTAGGTAGTGAAAATGCATTATTTCTTTGAAAATCTTCTTCTCTGCTCCTGGGTATTAAATAAACTAACTAAGTACATAGTTATGATGAGCAAGAGTGCCTCTACCAAAATTGTGAATTTTATGGCCCCAGGGTCAGGGGTTCTGGTGTTAGGGCAGGGCTCTGTTGATTATAAAGTAAAAATACATGAAATCTTTGAAAATCTTCTTCTCTGCTCCTAGGTATTAAATAAATTAACTAAGTGCATAGTTATGATGAGCAAGAGTGCCTCTACCAAAATTGTGAATTTTATGGCCCCGAGGTCAGGGGTTCTGGTGTTAGGGCGGGGCTCTATTGATTATATAGTGAAAATGCATTATTTCTTTGAATATCTTCTTCTCTGCTCCTGGGTATTATATAAACTAACTAAGTATATAGTTATGATGAGCAAGAGTGCCTCTACCAAAATTGTGAATTTTATGACCCCAGGGTCAGGGGTTCTGGTGTTAGGGCGGGGCTCTATTGATTATATAGTGAAAATACACGAATTCTTTGAAAATCTTCTTCTCTGCTCTTAGGTATTAAATAAACTTACTAAGTACATAGATATGATGAGCAAGAGTACCTCTACCAAAATTGTGAATTTTATGGCCCCAGGGTCAGGGGTCTGGTGTTAGGGTGGGGCTCTTTTGATTATATAGTGAAAATACACGAATTCTTTGAAAATCTTCTTCTCTGCTCTTAGGTATTAAATAAACTTACTAAGTACATAGATATGATGAGCAAGAGTGCATCTACTAAAATTGTGAATTTTTATGGCCCCAGGGTCAGGGGTTCTGGTGTTAGGGCGGAGCTCTATTGATTATATAGTGAAAATACATGAATTCTTTGAAAACCTTCTTCTCTGCTCCAAAGTATTAAATAAACTAACTAAGTACATAGTTATGATGAACAAGAGTGCCTCTACCAAAATTGTGAATTTTATGGCCCCGAGGTCAGGGGTTCTGGTGTTAGGGTGGGGCTCTATTGATTATATAGTGAAAATGCATTATTTCTTTGAATATCTTCTTCTCTGCTCCTGGGTATTATATAAACTAAGTATATAGTTATGATGAGCAAGAGTGTCTCTACCAAAATTGTGAATTTTATGGCCCCAGGGTCAGGGGTTCTGGTGTTAGGGCGGGGCTCTATTGATTATATAGTGAAAATACACGAATTCTTTGAAAATCTTCTTCTCTGCTCTTAGGTATTAAATAAACTTACTAAGTACATAGATATGATGAGCAAGAGTACCTCTACCAAAATTGTGAATTTTATGGCCCCAGGGTCAGGGGTCTGGTGTTAGGGTGGGGCTCTTTTGATTATATAGTGAAAATACACGAATTCTTTGAAAATCTTCTTCTCTGCTCTTAGGTATTAAATAAACTTACTAAGTACATAGATATGATGAGCAAATGTGCATCTACTAAAATTGTGAATTTTTATGGCCCCAGGGTCAGGGGTTCTGGTGTTAGGGCGGAGCTCTATTGATTATATAGTGAAAATACATGAATTCTTTGAAAACCTTCTTCTCTGCTCCAAAGTATTAAATAAACTAACTAAGTACATAGTTATGATGAACAAGAATGCCTCTACCAAAATTGTAAATTTTTATGGCCCCAGGGTCAGGGGTTCTGGTGTTAGGGAGGGGCTCTATTGATTATATAGTGAAAAAACATTAAATCTTTGAATATTTTCTTCTCTGCTCCTGGGTATTAAGCATATGAACTACCTATATAGTTATGAGCAAGGGCCCTTATCTTCCAGAATTGTGAATTTCAAGGCCCCAGGGTCAGTAGTGCAATAGAGGGGGGGGGGGGGGGTCTGTACTGAAAAATAATGAATTGTTTGAAATCTGCTCCTTGGTATTAATCAAATACTTTTGAAAAGCAAGGATGCCTTTTCAAAAATTGTGCAATGTGTGGATCTAGGCCTAAGAGTCAAGGGTTCATGTGTGGTAGCGGCACTACTGATTATTGCTGAATATTACTGATTTGTTGAAATGCATTTTTTGTTCCCCTACCCTGCCTATGGGTATTAAGTAACCAAACTAAGCAACTGCTAAGTGTATAGTTATGATGATCAAAATTGTAAATGCTATAGCATCTGGCTTAAAACATGGATCAAATTCAATCACTGGAAAGTTGTTGCATAATGCTCAGGTGACCTATAAGGCCCATGGGCCTTTTGTTGGAATACCAGTGTGATACTTAATGGTTATTTTTACCTGATAATTGAACAAAAATTAAATCAGATATAAACTTTTTGAAAGCTAACATTTAACGAAGTACAAAGAATATTTAAATATGAATAGATACTTAATTAAAAATCTTTTTCTTCTACGTCTGATATTCTGCAAGTGTTCAGAAAATCAATGAAATAAATACTTCGATTATGCTGATGAAATATATGGAGATAATGAACAGTATTCAAGAGAAAAGTCCTTTAAACAATATTAAATTAGAGCAGAGCAAACATGAACCTCCAAAACATCAGAGGTTGGATTGGGTTCCATGGAGAAGTGAGCATCCCCTGCTGACCGGTCACAAACTCCGTGTGTTCCATGTCATGATCCGAAAATAACGGAAAACCGTCGTCACTTCAGTTTCGTAAATAATGGCCTAAGAATGAATATGAAAAACGTCGGTCAGCATTTGACTGAATGATAAATATTATTTGCTGACAAGGTCATTGTTTCGCCAGTAGAACGTACGAAGGGATAACTTAAAACGTGACTTGTATTCTTGTTCCATCAATTTGTATTTTAAAAAATTACCCCGTTTTAGAAATTGTACGGACGTAGAGTATGCTCTTGAGTATCAAATCAACTAAGATGTATAAACTCCGTGAGCAGGTGATGAAAGTATATATGATTTCCGTTTGAGGAACGAATTAGACAGAAATCAATTTCTACTTGGTGTGATAATGAATTACTTTTTCGGAATTACAAGGTTTTCATTCGAATACCTGGTGTATATCACGTGGTTCTTTAGAACCGGTCTCGTTAGCAAGGCTATATAAGAGGTGAATAGTGGTTTAAATACCAGTTTAGGACGACACGTAGAGCACGATAAAGTTTAAATCTCAGATGCAGAACGAAGTGGCGTAGGGCGTGGTTCATCGACATGTTTAGCCATTGTAGATGATATGAAATCACAGAAAATAGAGTTGGAGAGAGATTTGACAGTGTGGAAAACGAGGTCATCAAAGAAAAGCCATCTTAGATCTTGTTTTTATAAGATAAGTATTCATTTTAGAATACAATTGATCAGTTTTTGAATAAGAAATAAATTAGTGATAACAAGGTTTGTAATAGAGAGAATTTGAAAATAAATACATGATTGTATTTAATTATGAGATTCGTTAATTCTAGTCAGTATATGATAATAGAAGTTATTTCCAGAAATAGATAATTTGTTTTGTAGAAAGATGGATTTGTTAAAGGAAGAAAACTGGTGTTTCTGAAAAGCAAAACAAATACGTTATGTTAATTTATTTTATTTTTCAATTAATACAAGTATAGAATTTATAAGATATTATATTTGCACTTATATCCAATTAAATATATTTGGTTATCATTTTAAAACGTACTAAATGCATCAGCATTATAACATGGACATTTCCTGAGTATAGAAAATATCGATAAATTAAAATTGTTTGAATTTATTTTCAATTTCAGTTTCTTGCCATTTTGTCAAATGTGCTACTAAAATGAAAAGTTTTAGATATGTTGAAGAGAAAACAGTATATTCTTATTTTTCAGGTAGTTAGTTGGTATCACGATGAGTATAATGAAGAAGGTGATTTTATTTTTTCCAGAGAAGTATGGTAGATTTTTTCTTTGCGTTTTATGCCAATTGAAAGTTAAAGTAAATGCGCACTCCGTCAAAATGGAAAAGAGAAGCATTTCATATTCTGATCTTTGAGTATAATAATTCGTTTTTCGATTTATTTTAGTAGATCATTCAATCATGAATCCTTATAGTAGAGTATGGGGCATACCGGTAGATAATTTTTGTTTGGTATCTATTAACCAAGTATATGTATTAATGACATATAAATTTTATAGAAGAAAACGAGTTCTACTTGTCTTATGATTAATGCAGGACAGGTTCGGCTTTGCGAAAGAGAATTAAAGGTTTTGAATATTTGCATTTTGATTTTCATTGTAGTTAAACTAAGGTCTCATTTGAATTATCTACTTAGAATTGAAATTTATCAATTGAGTATTAATTTAAAAAAAAAAAAAAAGATCAAGAT